ACATAGCTCCGCCACTGCCGACAACTGAATACAATGGTGAATTTGACATAGTTCAAATTTTCTAACAATCCCTCTTTTGAGTGAAATATTTTAGTAAAATCTAAATGCTGTCGAATTTAAAGATCAATTTTGAATGCATCTATTTCATAAACATTTGACTGATTATTTTATTCTTTTGTACCTATTTTAGCATTCTCCCAATTATTTTTAAGATTACCAAGTTTATCGATTTTATTTCTTTCACAATTTGTACATTATGTCCCATTTTATCTATATATTTTTTGGACTGTGCTAACCACCAGTCGACTGGTGGTTAGCAACAGATCCGCACGACTCCCACTACAGCGATTTTTTCGGCGTCCATCCCCAGCTCAACAACTACCTGAGCTAACCCCTCATTGCAATTAAGTCATGCGTTAGTTTATATTTCACTACCATCTATAACATCAGACAAAGCTTCAAAAATATCTGACTCCTTACAGAATTCGAGTACATATTTGAAAGAGAAATTCGACTCACAACCTAATTGAACGGTCGGACCAAATCAAATAATAAACTAACCAATTTTTGGACAATTTTTGTGAACAGATATATGGTGTCTCCATGACCCTCATGTTATACTAGTTACCTAGAACTTATCGGGGGATGTTTCTACACTTATTTTAACCGAAACAAAAGTTATCGGGGTGTTCATATGTAAGTTATCAGATATGTGAGGTGTAAATTATCCTGCTATTTACACAAGAGTTATCGGGGTACATTTTTAATTAAAAAAATTCCGATTCAAAATTATCAGGGGGCTTGTGCATAAGTTATCAGATATGTGAGGTGTAAATTATCCTGCTATTTACACAAGAGTTATCGGGTACATTTTTAATTAAAAAAAATCCCCGATTCAAAATTATCAGGTGGCTTGTGCCTAAGTTATCAGGTCTGTAATGCATAAAGAAAACCTTGCTTTTTATACAAAACTTGCTGGGATATATTTTCAACAACTTTTTTCCGAGGGTCAAAAAGGTTACCATGGTATTCGTACATGAGTTATCGGCTCCGCGCTATGTAATTTACCGTGCTATTTACACATATGTTACCGAGGATATCTTTTCAATGATTTTTCTCTCCGGTTCAAAGTTATCATGTTGTTTGTACCTAATTTAGCAGGTCTATAGTTTGTAACTTACCACACTACTTACACAGAACTTATCATATGTATGTTTCAACAATTTTTATCCACTAGGTCAAAAGTTACCACGGTGTTTGTCCATAACTTATCAGGTATGCGGTGCATATTACAATGCTATTTACATAGAACTTAGCGGGGGGTTGTTTTGAACAATTTTTACCAGGTCAAAAAGTTATCACGATGTCCATACATTAGTTACATAGAAATTGGTCAAAGGCTGGGGGGGGGGGGCGCAGCCCCCCCTCCCTCCCCGGCCCAACATAGCTCCGCCACTGCCGACAACTGAATACAATGGTGAATTTGACATAGTTCAAATTTTCTAACAATCCCTCTTTTGAGTGAAATAATTTAGTAAAATCTAAATGCTGTCGAATTTAAAGGTCAATTTTGAATGCATCTATTTCATAAACATTTGACTGATTATTTTATTCTTTTGTACCTATTTTAGCATTCTCCCAATTATTTTTAAGATTACCAAGTTTATCAATTTTATTTCTTCCACAATTTGTACATTATGTCCCATTTTATCTATATATGTTTTGGACTGTGCTAACCACCAGTCGACTGGTGGTTAGCAACAGATCTGCACGACTCCCGCTACAGCGATTTTTTCGGCGTCCATCCCCAGCTCAACAACCACCTGATCTAACCCCTCATTGCAATTAAGTCATGCG